GCTGAAACGCTTTGGCCTGCAGGAGTGCCTTAGAAGAGCATCTTGCCTCTGCATTTATTTGTGTGGGAGCTGCCCATCAAACTCTTATCTGCCCATTGCCACTGACTTAGGTGAAAAGGGGAAGCATCGCCTGCAGAAGGGATCCCCTGGACACAGAGGAGTGGCAGTTTGCCTTGAGGAAGTCTGTGGCATGGACTGAGGAAGAAATAAAGCATGGCTACCAAGGAGAGAACAATGCCAGGGTAGAAGCAGCCCACTGGATGCAGATGAGAGCCACAGGGCTGCTGGAAGATGGTGATGGAAGGCAAGGCTTGGCTGACCAAGCCTTGCAAGATGTCATGCCCAGCAAGGGGAAAGCACCACTGGCTTTGAAATGCTGGTGATGATGAAGAAGGTGACCAAGCCTCAGAAAGTGGGGAGGGCAAGGATGGGCAAGTGGCTGAAGCTGAAGTTCTCTCTGCAGTGGGAAAGGCTTTGCCAAAGAAAGAGGCTGTCCTCAGGGTGAGCAGAATGGTGAAGCTTTTGAAGCAGGTGAAGAAGGATGTGGGGGCTGCAAAAGGCAAGCCTTTGGATGGATGCTTGGAAAAGCTGCAGAAGCTTGAGAAGCAGGGGGCCAAGCTCAGCATGGAGGATGCCAAAGTGAAGCTGTTCGATGCAGCCCTCCAGATCAAGAAGGTGAAGATGACCTGAGGGACTGAGCAGTCTAGGCTTCCACCAACATGGTTCTGAGCCATGCCCTGCACAAGGGCTTTGTCAAGCTGGGCCCTGCAAAAGGGCTGTGTCCTGCGCATGGGCTGGGTCCTGCAAAAGGGCTTGAAAAGGGGTGAGCCTCAAAGGAAGCATGGCCTTTGGTGGTGCAAAAAAAGAAGAGCAGCTGCCTGCTCTACAGTCACTGGGTGTTGCAACACACTGGTAAGCAACAGCAACATGGCAAGGTGAGGTTTTGCTCTGCAGCTGCTTTGGGTGCACTCAGCTACCAGGGGGCACAGGTCCTGTGAAAGGGCTTGCTTAGGCCCTGTGAAAGGGCTTTCCATCCATGAGCAAGTGGAAGAGGAAGAAGTATGCTGATGCCACAGGGAGCAAGCCAGAAGAAGAAGAGTTCTCACCCCTTGGCCTTTCTCTCTTGGAGCAGTTCTCTTCTGGGATGAGTGCCCCTGGGCAGCATCTAACTTGTTCCTGGAAGTGTCTGTGTGCAGGCAAATATACTCATTGCTGAGGGGCCATCTGTCCAAGCCATTGCATTGGCAGCAACCAAGAGTGGGTGCAACTCTGCTGACTTGCAGCAGCTGGCTGCATTGGGTAACTATGGTAGGTCTTCTGAGCACATAGCCTCCCAGATGATTTCCAAGTATTGCAAGTCTGACAACATCAAACTTCCTGAGCCGTACCTGGCTGAAGTTCCAGTCTGTGTGAGAACTCCAGATGATTGGGTTCTCAGTATGAAGCCTGTGTCTTTGTACCTGCCACATGAGTGGTTTGCCTGGCTACAAACAGAAGAGCAGGCAGCAGGGTGGCTACAACTCCATGACTTCTGGGACAGCCACTCAATGGATGACCCAAAGCTGGATGGCTCACCAGTGATGGATGCTTCTTGGCTGAGCCTTTGAACTGTAATTGTCTTGAAACTTGAAACCTTTTTTCATGCGCACATGTGATGCCCAGCTAGGAAGGATGTGACAAATTCCTTCCACTCATTCTCCATGGAGATGGAGGGGCATTTCAAAGATCTGATAGTATTGTGGTTCTCAGCATGCGATCACTGCTATCTTCATCTAATGTTGCACACAGCCAAATGCTCCTCCTGGCCATCCCCAAATCAGCAATTCACAAATCTGAGAACAAAGCTGAAGACACCATGCACTGCATTTGGTCAATATTGACCTGGAGCATGAGTCACATGTTCTATGGCAAGTTCCCAGAGAAAGATTTCCAAGCCAAGGATTGGCCCACCAAGTCCACCAGATCCAAACAGGCAGGCAGCTTGTTGCACAGTGATGGGCTTTGTGGCATGATTTATGCCATCAGTGCAGATGGAGAGTTCTTTCAAAACGAATACAAGCTGCCAGGAAGTTCCCATGCACAGTGCTGCTGGAGCTGTGGTGCTAACAAGACCAGCCACCCACACAATGATTATCGGCCTGGGGCCAAGTGGAGAGACACCATTGTTGACCACAGAAAAAAGAATCCCACAGAGCATTTGGTGATGACAGTGCCAGGCATCAATGGATACACCTTCACTTATGATTCTCTCCATATTCTGGAACTTGGTGTCTCAGCACACATAGTTGCCAACTGCCTATTTGATATGATTGTCAAAGGAGAGTTGCCAGGCAATAGCCAGGAATCCAGACTCAAAGAGTTCTACAGGAGGCTGTCAGGCCTGTACACTGAGCTAGGCACAGACTCCTCTCACCAACTCAGGAGGATTCACATGTCCAACTTCTGCCAGCCCTCCAATAAGTGGAATGCGTTTCCTGAGCTTTCAGGAGTGAAAGCCAAGCAAGTGAGATACCTCATTCCTCCAATTCTGGAGTTGTGCAAAGACTTGCAGGGTGACAGCCCATACAGAACATGCAGAACAGATTGTGTCAGCAACCTGAACAAGATGTACCACATCATGGATTCTGAGGGGTTGCATCCTCAAGAGTCAGCCTACATGCAATATAAGAAGGCCACTGAGAAGTGTTTGATCTGCTACACCAAGTTGGCCAAGATGACAATATCCCAGAAGCTTCTTCAATGGAGCACTGTACACAAGCATCACTTGAGCTGCCACATGATCGAACAGTTCAGATTCACCAACAGCAGGTTTGTGTCCACCTACACAGGAGAAACAATGGTTGGTTTTATGTCATCTCTTGCTCACAGTTGCCTCAATGGCACACCTGGGCATTTGGTACCAACAAAGGTGGCCTGGAGATATCGTTTGGGCTTGCATCTCAGGTTGGCACATGGTGACCTGGAGGTGATGGAATCTGATGAAGAACTTTGAGAGTCAATCCTGCAAAAGGGTTGCATCTTTGGTCCTGCAAAAGGGCTTGGAGTGGGTCCTGCATGGTCCTGCAAAAGGGCTACCAGACTGTCTTTGTTTCACTGCCCTGGAAAAAGCAACAGCATGTGGCACCACATTCTGGCAACTGTGAAAATCTGTTCAATTTCTTCAGGTTCCCAAGGTCTAAACCAATAAGGTCCTGTTGAAACAAACAATAAGGATTCTGTTGGTTAATTCAACAGTGGTTAGGAAACATGCATCTTCCTATTTCAACAGAATTTAATGATTCTGTTGAAATACTACCCTAGTGTTGAAATGTACGATTTGTGTTGAATCTTTTCAATAACAAGCACTCTGGGTTTGAAGGTGTTTCAACAAATGGTCTACGCGCATCTGCAGAATCTCAACGGCAGCTCACGAGCGGCTGAAGGTGGCGGAGGGAAACAGGTTTGGGGGAAGTATCGTGAAAGGACCATGAACCAAAACGTGGAAAGTGGAGTCACAGCTTGGTCAAAAGTTGAAGCAGGTACACAGGGATGATCAGTCCCCGCATCCTGGTCATCTGCATAGAGCTTCGTTGGCGACAGCTATGCAGTGACCCTGTCGCCCCCTGCACTGAGAATGGAAGAAAGGAGTCGAAACTCTTAGTTACAGAGGTTGAGACGCACAGAGTGCCGATATCGGCGCTCTGGAGGAACTTACCAACCGAAGAGCCTTAGAAAGAAAGAAAGAAAAGGAAGACAGAAAGGAAAACGCAAAGGCAAGAAAGAAAGATAGGTGTAGTTACGAGGCCCACTAGTTGCGAAACCTGCTAGTTGCTGAATACTTAGACGCATGAATTATATGCACTAGTTAGCGAGCGGGACATTCGTCTTAAACAGCCGGGGTAGCTAGGAGTAGAAAAGGAGAAACAGAAGGAAAGGTACCGACACACAAGTGTGTCGAGTACCATTTCCTTCTGTTACCCTAGATAGCGGGTGGGATAGAAACACGAATTCGGTTGCAAGGTGGGGGGGGGGTGCGTGGATGTGCATGTGTGACACATATATATATATATATACATCGCCGTAAGCCCGGCGGCCTGGAAGGTGAGTCGCAGGTGGACATGTCAAACTCAAAAGCGAGCTCAGTGGAAGAGTTGCCGTAGGCCCGACGGCATTGGGTTTCGGGAATCCAGGAGTGAAACAAAATGCGGTTAAGATAATCCAACGAGGGAGGAAACGGTAGATTCAGTTAGTGGCAGTCCGGCATGAATTCAGCGCCCAAGTGACGGGGATCACACCCAGCACCCAAGTGGGACGACTGAGCGGCTCACACTCTGACATTGGTTTGCAGTTAATCTATTCCCAAGTAGGAAAAAGGCGATGGAACCGCAAGGTGAAGTGTCCAGGCATTTGAAGGTGTTTCAACAAATGGTCTATGCGCATCTGCAGAATCTCAACGACAGCTCACGAGCGGCTGAAGGTGGCGGAGGGAAACGGGTTCGGGGGATGAAAGGACCATGAACCAAAACGTGGAAAGTGGAGTCACAGCTTGGTCAAAAGTTGAAGCAGGTACACAGGGATGATCAGTCCCCGCATCCTGGTCATCTGCATAGAGCTTCGATGGCGACAGCTATGCAGTGACCCTGTCGCCCCCTGCACTGAGAATGGAAGAAAGGAGTCTGACTTGACAGCGGTGCCACACGCCGGCCTAGGCTACCATGTCCTAAGGGTACAGGTAAGGAAACCTGACCAAGAAGTGGAGGTCCATCAAGTTCAGCGTGGCCATCAACTCTAAAGGAACCACCGAACGATCGACCGACAGAATGACGTCGTCCGCTCACATCTGCAAATCAAAAACCAAAGCCCTATGCGTGACTGCCGAGAGCAAACCGGTGCAAAGGCTGGATTTCTTGTTCTAGTTAGAAGCAGGGCCCAAGATGAAGTGTCTCAGGTAAAACT